GTCGCTTCTTCCGTCCTACTTCCACGTCATGTTAAGCAAGCACGCAAATCGGTCCCTAGAAACAGAAGTACATTAAGTTTATGGAACTTCAAGACACTTGGTTTGTATTGTTGTAACGCTGCCCTTCGCCTCTGCTCTCTGACCTACCAACCCAGCAGGGGACATAACAAAACACCAAAGCCTGCTAGACCGAAGTGTATTAGGAACAGAACGCAGTTAATTTTATAGGTCACATGCTATCATCTCCGGCTGCAGGATTTTGAGCTGACTCATGCTACTTGCCTGCACACTTTCCAAACTTACTTACAGTCCGCACTAGCCAGCTGTAGACGCGCTAACTCACGCCTGTCGCGTAGTAACATGCGTCCTGCTGACGGTCGGATTTCATCATTTTCCCGCTCGACTTAGCCGTGTTACCGCCGGCCGGGTAGCAACCCGTGTCATGATGACGAACGTCTGGAAACCGATTAGTATACATTCACAGTAGTCTGAAATGACTTGAGCCACTGAGTGACGCATATGTTGTATCAGTCGTTTTCTGACGATAACTATCACTCCAACTGTTGGGTTAACCAGAGCAACGCAAACCCATTCGCAGCCACAGTCTTCTGAGCAAACCATACACCAAGGAATTTCCAGATGACTATTAATCTTGAAACATATCCACTTCACTAGCAAGCATAACTCGTCTGCAAGGTTACTGTGATCACGCAAGCCGGTCTTTCACCAGTGTACACAGCCAATGAAGCCGCATGTATATCAAGGGTGCCATATATGCAACATTTTCCCGTCAATGAGTTCAAGAACAAATGTTATGAACCTGTCACACCACGAGTTTGCTCCACTGGACTGCAGTGCTCGGCATAGTGTGGCGAGGTTTTCTTTGGCGCTGGAAGAGGTTGGTTTCTCCAAGTAGCTTTAAACGATCACCGTCATTTGCTACGCATCAGCACAGCCATACCTATGGTTTCATAACAAAACCGGCGACATCCCTTAGTTGCTTCGTGCTCTTCTCGTCCATGAGGCTTTCACCTAGCGAAAATGGTCAGTCGCCTATTTACTGTGAACTGAAGTACTAACACTATTGGAGCTGGATACAGAAAAGTGCTAGAAAAATTCTTGAAGGTATATTACTTACTACGCCAGTTTTCCGCGATTCCGGGAACAAGCAGAAAATTCGCGGAATTAACAAATTTCGCGGAATCGCAGAAAAACATGGAAATTCATAAAGGAAGTTACTTTGAATTGTTTTTGTTCTTATCATATAGTCAACTGGTTTTACCTTTTCAGATGTCCTTTCAGAAAATGAAACAACATATGGGAGAAAAACTGCTGTAGGTAGAGTAAAGGTGTTTCCTGGCGAATATTACGTCGACAACGCGGACAACAAACTACTGTTTGGTTCTTCGTGTGAAGTAACTGTGGATCCATCTGGAAAATTAACGATGCTTAACCATATTCTCGGCCAGAAGCAACTTCAGAAGATAACTCTAAAAGAGAAGCAAACAGCTAAATTTGTTACCAAGATGTAAGCAATTTCAAAGGAAGCTCGACAAGCGTCGTTGGTTCCACCTCCGTTGCAAATGCTCTACGGGAAGCCGATGACACAATGGTAGCTGACTTCCTAATTGCTTGGGCATCTGCGAATACTGCTCTAGAGAATGTTAACAACCACCTAACTGTGGGGATTTCTTCACAGACACGTACGAAATGGTAGAAGCATTACGGGATCTAACGCACATCGTCTGAAAATTCCCCAGCTTAACGGGAAACACAAACATATGTTGGAAGAGATACTCTGTTATACCTTTGACAGCGCCATAACCGCGGAAACAACTGATGGTCGCGGAAAGATGAAACTGCACCTCCTGTTATGTTCACCAAAGAAGTCTAGCAACGTCAATCTTAGAGCTTACCTCATCTACACGGTCAACTTGGAGTGAGTCCATTCTGTCACCGTTGGAGATATCACTATGCGCAGCCTGACTGTGATGGGTATGGACTCCAATTGTGTGATGGTTTTCATTTTAGATGGCGCAAGATATATGACACCAGGATATCAAGATGTTATTAATCTGGTTTATGAGAATGCAGTTCACATTATATGTACTATCCTTTGCATCAATTTTATTGGTATGACCCTTGGCAAATTCTTTCCAGAACTTGACGGATAGGTGGCAGAAATGAAAAGTGCTTGCCATCTTTCGAGAAAGAAGAGGCATTTCTACATTTGGTGTCTATCTCATGAGTTTGGACACTCGGCTGGTGCGGATTTTCCAACCAAGAAAACAACACAACAAATGTTTAAGTGACAACGGACTTGTATTCCGATTACTGGCTAGATCATCATCCGTAACTTGAAAACTGGCAAATCCCACTCTCCGGTAAGCCATACAATTTATAACGACCTCTCCGTTCTATCCAAGTTGCTGAAAACTGCCGTTGAGGAAATCTGCGTGCAACATTTGCAAGAAGAGGTAATGACCCTTGATGCGTCTAGCAACATCCAATCTGGCATGCAACTCTGCTTCTACCAAGCTGTTAGAAAAGCCAAGCAATTGCTGACATCAGTGGCCAGCCGGCAGTTTCTGAAAGCCATTAGACTGCTTGACCCCACGCAGCTTATCATCTAGCCAGTCATCCATGCAGCAATGCCAACATTCCACGTCTGGTTGTCTCCCCAGCTCTGGCAGCCAGCCAATCTGTCGAAAAGTTATGGAAGAAGTACACGGAGAAAAAGATGAAGACGCGCTAGCCTTATGGTGGTGGACACAAAAAGGAACTCCCCAACTGGCAGACACTGCCTGCCGTTATCTATGCATTCCTGCGAATTCGGTGAACGCATCACAACCTTTCAGACGATAGCACAAAGCACCATTTTGGGCTTTCTACTAATACCTGTTTTTAATCCTAACTAACATGTGTATGGTGGATGAACGTGTCTAGGTCTCTGCTTTTTAGTCTTCAAGGGAAAGCACATATGTTATGTTAGAACTATAAATATATCACGGATTTTTCGTTTTGGATCGCGGAAAACTTATGTTGCCTCTCAACATACTGTGAATTATTAACTTACTCGCGTAACTACACTACTTCTTATTTAGCAGTAGTATGACTTAGATGTACATTTGTGGCGGCACCGGGTTGAACACCCAGTGTTACTGGCGAAGTACCAATCCTCCAAGTTACTCTTCGTCTTTATTATAAAACCAGTTTATATACTTACTTTTTTATTTACAGCACATATGCGAGGAAGCACCATATATTCTAACATCGTACGGTATCGTACTGTATACACTAAATCTGCGGAGTTATTTCTGTGTCTGTTGGCGAGTCTCCTAACCTATTCGTAAGCTATGTTTCCATTTCACTGGATAATCAAAATGTACAGCCCCGGTTACGTCAGTGCAATTTAGTTTACCCATCGCGCTTGTTTATCACAGCCTAGACCGTTCGTTAAGATAGGTGTCATTGGCCCACGGTTAGATAGTGATTTCGGCAGTAACATATGTAGTGCGCTTTTCATTGGGAAGGTGGTTATCTCCGGATTGGACTGCCTTGCGTGAGGAATTTTCGTTCATTCAACCAGCTAGCAGCAATAACAAGTTTGTAGTCTTCGGTGCATCCGCAATCTGTACGTTGAACATCAGCTACTACCCTGCTTGTGGCCGCTTATCTTTTCGTGACAAATTAATCCTGATTAGAATTGGAAGTGAATCTAGTTTTCAGTGCTAATCATATCAACTGACACTGTAAACACCGTGAAAAGGTAACTGGTCGACGGGTGCCTAATGTATGTTTCAACAAAGCCCCGCAATTTAGTCGAGTTCAAAGAGATGGTGACCACTCTGCACTAATTAGGAACGAGCACTAGAACCAGAACTCAATATTCGATTGGCGGTGCTGTTGCTTAAGCGGATAAGCCTGCATCTAGGCAACGGAATCGCTGCTGGCGTTATTTTCGCATATTTAAGTGCATCATATGTCCATTGTTCACTACTCACAAATAGTACCCCTGCATGCATATTAGCGGTTGTAGGTGCAGGACTGCCGGCGACTGCCGAATACCATCACACTACCTGGCATAGCTAGTGTACAGTTTGGGTTTTCAATACAGTAAAGCTTCAGGTCAATCAGATCACAGTGTATCTGGGTTCCAGGCCACGTTAGTTGTTGCTGTTAACGAATTTGCCACCAGTGGATCTACCGAAAATACTGAGCAATTCACATCATTGTCCACTCCTGCATTTCCAACCAAACTCAGCAACCTCGAGTTTTCGAAATGAACGTGCATGCGGTTATTACACTATATCTCCACATTGATCACCAACAGTTTGTTCTACCTGAGCGTTTCACGTAGACATATCAGTAGCATGTAAAGAGAATATGGGCTCCGTTAGCCGTCTCCTAAAGCCAACACAGTTAGCGCGAAACGTTGGATATTCTTCACAGAATGATGCAATAAGAGAACGGGATTGGTTGGTACATGTTTGTCCATTAAACTAATGAGTACTGAAAGAATCGCACGTATACGTAGCTGAAATGTGTTCCATTCATGCGAGCTTCACGTGTGCACTACAACTACATGTGGTTTACTACTCATTTTGGCAATGCGATACAAACTAAGGTATTTTGTCCGCCTGGTGACACCCACTTTCTTGAGTTAGCAACTAGTCAGAGAATACAAACCACTGACAATCCTTGGAACAAACAGATGACCATTCAACACCCAAGTGGGGATCGGTTGAATTTCGAAGAGGACACTCTATGATAACTTCCAATGAAACATCGTTACTCCCTCTAACACATTCCAGTGAGTCCCTTTTTACGGTTGTCTAAATAACCTTGTTTCGTTTTCGGAATTTCAACATCGCTTTCAGTGCCTTGCACAAAATGTTTTCCGTGTTCGAAAAAAGGTTTAACTCAGGCAAAATGTATGGAAATAGAGAAGTTTAAACACTTAACTTTGTGTGAAATATTAGCATATTTGTAACAGGTTATCAAATCGATGAATTGGTGCTTATGTGCCTCACCACCTCACAGTAAGAAGATTTCATGTGTTCAAATGTCACATCACTAGGAGCCCAGGAACTTATGGCACCACTTGCCACAGTTCTGGTTGAATACGAACCCCAGTAGGCTAGAACCCTTTTCATGTGTGATAAAACTTCTGAGAGAGGTAACACAGTGATATACGGCTGCGTTTTTCTGAGGAACACATCAAGGTCACCCGGATAGATTTGCAGAGGATAGGCGGAGAAAATCAGCAGTTGTTCTCCGGGTACCGCGGCTGCACACAAGCATCCCAACATTTTAAGGGTGGCATTCCAGCTCCTGGGAAAATCAAATGCACTTGCTGTACTAACTGTTACTTTATACTCTTCATAATCTTCTGACAGTATGTCCAACAAACATGCTTTGTTGTGTCCTATACATAGCCCCTTATAAATATTCTCCGTAAGTGTATTCTTCTTTTCTTCAGTTAAGTCGCAGGCAGCACACGTGGCTGACACCGATGAAAATGTACTCGCCGTGCTGGAAGCGGAGCTCTGTAGCTCTGTTGTGCTCAGGTTTGTTTGCGGGTTTACCCGAGATAACCAGGTAGATTCACAATTATTCAGTGAGAAACTGGTCCAAGCAGATATTTCGGGGGAGTAATATTCCATCACTTTTATTTGTGCAGGCTGCGTGTTGTTTACATATGCAGTCTGCCTCACATTCACTTGGGCACATCGTGTAAGATTAGACCAAGCGTTTTGGCTTGGAGCATTCGCCTCAGCAACCGTAAATCCGTTGAATAGGAATGCGACAGTTCCATCTTTGTCGATTTCTACGCTTCTCACAGAGTCTTCTTTAGTTCCAACCGATTGTAACAGCTTTTTTTCGTCGGGAAGCCAGCCACTTACCATGCTAACTTGGAGGAGAAGTATTCCGGAATCATGAGGACGCATTGCAAGGGACGGACGGAAGCACACTGTGACATTCGCCACTGGGTATACAGTTGCCGACGTCTGCTTACCCTGTTCAATTTCCACGAAAAGCTGATATACTGAGTCATGTGAGTTGTTTGTTGCGTAACTGTTATATTGCACCAGTGTTTGGACTGACAGACAGTCGCTTCTAGATTCAGAAGCAGATGACATAATCCACCGGGAAGAGTTGAGGATGGTGGAATTGTCGACCGGAACCTCAATCTGATTCACAACCCGACGGTTATTCTCTGTCACATCCATCTGCCAGGAAGAGCCATATGGTTCCATATATACTTCTACTGTCAGGTTGTTGAGTGTACGGTGTACGGCCAAACGTTTCGCTTCCTTGGCAATCACTTCCAAACCGAGGGATGTATCGTGGATGGAATAGAATCCGCCGTAAAGGGTTTGCTGTGTCGATAGCCATTGGGCGATGGAAAACAACTCTGGGAACTTCAAACCGGTGTTCACCAGAGCTTTATAGGCAAGACTTGTTGTCGCGACATCCATTGCAACTGCACCATCGGAGTTATATTTGTCCGTGATCCGTCCTGCTTTCCAGTAAGTATATAACCTTTCTCCTTTGACTTTTACAGAACGTTTGCGATCTAACAGCTCGTTCAGTAAGAATGTTGTAAAGGAATCTCCTGAACGAAGTAAAGTCATCGTGTTTGTAATCATAGCTAGGTCGTAGGTGGGAATTTCATCAAATCTTCCCTCACTAAGCATCATGCCTAGGGGTCCTGAACGTAGACATTTGATGCCCAAGTTTAGCGATGGAATGTAAGAAGGAACTTGGAACCCCTCCAAATTTGGACCCACTTCGTAAAGAACCGACAGAACATATGCCGATAACACCATTTCCTGATATTGTTTGCTTCTGTCCTCTAAACGTCCCTGCATTTTTGGGTTGGTCAGCCGGCTTCTTTCTTCAAAGCAACCCGACCCATCAGGACGGTGACGTTTTATGAGAAACTGGATAGTCTCGTTGAACAACAGCTTCCAGTCCCTTACAAGATCACCGTTTACATCACGCAGTGCAGCCACTGTGTGCAACACATGGGCTGTCAACCAGGTACTCCCCTCTCCGTCAGACTCTCCGAACATAGAGTACGACCCGTCCGAGTGCCGATATTTACGCAGCTTCTGGAATCCTGCATATATGTGTCGAACTGTGTCCTGCACAAGTAGTGATGTCTGTTTGAAGTTCACTATTCTAGTGGATTGTAGATAATCCAGTAGAAACAAACTGCTGGATACGGAGAGTAGGTTTTGATCAGCGCCACTCGTTGGTAATGCAACAAGATGGCCAACATTGAGTAGTGCTCTACCCCATAACTCGTCCACGTATGACAAATTAATTGTAAGGGAATCCGGAACAATGTCTTCAGGATAAGTGAATGAAAATATTTTCTCAACGCTACCATTACCGGAATGAAGGCAGATGAGGTCTCCGAAAATCTTGTGTTGAGGGTAACCGTCCTGTAGAACGCGGATCGTTTCAGAGACAACCATAAAGTGCTCGTGATCAGCAGATATGAGGTAGCTTTGCTGGTCATTCAGAGAGCACAGAGGCGAATCAAACACAGCGTGCACACTCGCTGTGACTTCAAGCCTACCGGGCCGTAGTGGACGCAGCCCGAGTACAAATGTTCGTGTCTCTCCAGGACACACACATTCGGTAAACTCGTAACTTCCTAAGGTTATCCAATCGGTGACGTTGGAGGTCGATGTCACAGTGACTGGGATGCATTTCAATTCCAACAAGTCATGATGCATCGCAGTGACACTAATAGAAATGTAAGGGTCTTCTGTCAGTTTCACTTGCTTTGACACACTTGTTAAGACAGCAAAGGGCCTGACGACGGTTAGCGTCTGTGGCGGCGAAACCCACAAACCGTAACTTCCGGTAACACAGACGGCTGATACTTGCCAGGTTGCGGCAGCATCTGGCGCAGTAATATTTCTTTGAAATCCATAAAAAGCTACTGAGTTAACATTCCACTGTCGCAAATGCCAGACTTCAAAAAGCCAATTTTTCGAAGGATATTCACTCATCAGCGATGCAATCGCATTCGCCTTGGTATTGGGCGCTTCCGATGCATCGTCAACCTCAACATTCTCGTCTCCTACCTCATTATAGGATTCTTTACCTGTGCTAGATAGCAGCAAAATCCCTGAAGTGCCAAGTACTTTTGTATTGCCCACACTCTCATACATGCCAGTAACTTGGGGTAGCTCAGTTTTTGTGTAGCTAAACAGTATTCTAGCCAACCTATCGTATTTAATAGATATTGTTTCAGATGCATGCATGAAGCAGACTTGCTCTTTGTGTCCGACGCTTGATCTACTGTGTAGTGCACTGGAGCCGCACATTTGGATCGTCAGTTGCACAGCTTGTCCGGCATACGTATGTTTTTTATCAAGTTGTATCTCCTTCTTATAGAATTGAGGCTCGCCGAGTTCTGAGCATCCATCAGTTTGTGGCATGTCAAAAGTTGTGGCAACTGCCTTTACACTATTTTTGTCCCTATGGTAGAAATAAAGTACCGGCGTTGTAGCGTCCCTCCACTCATTACTAAGCTCAAACTCAAAAAATCGTGTGAAAATTGTCCTTTTCGGTTGGTTAAACTCCCCGGATTTACGTAAGGTGGGATGGGGGAGATACTGCTTCTTCGTATACGAGGAATAGCCGTGAGCTTGAACTTCGTCACAGAGATCACCTTCCCATCCATCATCACAGACACAGTCACTGCCGTTGACACACTTCCCATGCACACATCCCTTCCTTTGTACACACACATCGCAGTTGGCTCCTGTCCAGCCCTCAAAACAGGCACAGCGCTCCATAAAGTCACATCTGCCACCTAAAGGATAGCAATGGGCCTTACAGATGGTTATCATGCAATCAGGTCCTGTCCAACCGGGTAAACAACTTATTTGATTCCCCTGTGAATGTACACAGACATAGTGACCCAAAATGCCATCTTGATCCACGCAGTCATCAGGTTTAGCTGTTATAGGAGGCACGGATAAGTGTAACACCTTACCCCAAACATTAGCTTGAAGTTCAAACATTTTGTTCCACAACGGAATGTTGGAGATTACTAGTAGTTTTAGCTTACCTGAGCAATTAAACTGTGCAGAGTTTGCCGTTGGCCACAATTGCAGGGTCACGTTTCCAGAATCTGTTGATCGTGATACGATTGCACGGGTCATAAGTGTATTTGGTCCATTTCCGTTGTATCCTCTGACCGGAGAGTAAGAGTTAGCGTAGTCCTGCGAGATGCATACGGCTTCCACGTAGAGAGTCTTTGGCAAATTCTGTGGTGGTATAACGAAAGAAGCTTGGCCTGTGACGTTCAACTTTATTGCACTGGCTTGCAATTCTCGATTATCTTCTGCATCTCCCCATACCAACCACACTTGTCCCTCCCCAGGAGGGAAAAGAGAAACCGTTCCTGAAGTTGGTAACCCGGGATTGTACACAGACGGTAAGGTTAACTTTAACTGGGCACTTCTCTCTCTCCGACCAATATCAAACACGCACCTGGTTCCCTTTGCGTCAGCAAGTTCTCCTTCAGCCGCGTGAGCACAAATCAACAACAGCTGGTCCGTTTTCGAACCCGTCGAAGTGTCTTGTACCAGTTTATTGGTTTGAAGGTCAAATTTGGCACATCCATCCAACTGCAACCATTCTTTGGCTTCGATGCAGCCGCTTGTGTTGGCAGGAGTTTGGGACCGAAAAGGACAGGAATTCTTCGCCAAAACTGCCTGCTTTAACCGCTTTTGTTCTTCCATATCTCGAGGACGGGGGCATCTACAGATCTGAGCTCTCACGTATCCCCTGGAGGTTTGTCCGTTTGTACGATGTGAACAGACTGTGAACAAGGCATGTGAGGAATCCACTGTTAGATTTTCTGAGGGGTTGATCGTAACCATAAGAGATGAGAACATGTGACGTTGTACATGAAAGTGCGCTGTTTCTGTCTTCCCAAACACAGTCGCCCCTACGGTCCATTCCCCACTCTGTGCTGTTGTGGGCAAATAGTAACGCAAATCGGTGGCCTCCAGAAAGGAAACGTCACGCCACATTTTCACGCGCTCGTCAGCAGTATTTATGACAAAAACTTCACTGCACTTCACTGTATTCAAGGCGCTTTCATCCTCTGCGGTCAGTGGTAGTAGTTGTAATTTCCCGCTGTTGGATTGCAAAACCAGCTTCTTTGAGGGATACTTTGTCAACTGAAAGTTTGGACTGACCATCTCTGGTGTCAAACTCATCACTCGTATACGGACCAATTCTCCCGGATGGTACACGGATTTTTCGATTTCAGTGAAGATTGAAACTTGTCTGTGCAACACCGAAATCCATCTGGTAAGATACTGTTCGGTTGTTTTGTCACAGTCCTGATTGGAACAAAAGTAAACGGTAAAATTCATCAACGTCCATATCGACCGATTGGCAACGGGAACAAACGGTGCCCGGTATTTAATGTTAGCGCCGTACCACTCTTCGGAAGTCATCTTTTTGATGGGAACTACCGTATGGTCCACTGCCTCATCTCCCAGCTCCGGCAAACTCGCTGTCAATGCGACTAGGCTAGCGAGATGTGACGTCCTTACGGTTATCGTGCTTGTTTGTCCTACGTACAATGCACGTGGCACCGTGACGAATACCTCTGGTTTCGCAGATATGCACAGCTGGAAAAACAGTAAAAGGATGCATATTCTCAATAGATGCATTGCACGGACTGCAACCACTATGCGTCGTTCCTTCTGTACATATTTATGACATTGTTTGTGTTAGTTGTAGGCTTCTAACTGGTCCACAGCTCTTCCACCAATCCCTGTCAACCTACCTTAAGCTGACCTACCATAGCACCGTTCCTTTAAGAGGTTATATCAGGTTCAATTCAAGACTATCGCTTTTACTTTTCAATTTTATTATTGCTTGTGTTGAGCGACCGTGAGGTTCATTTTGAAGAAGGAATCTATTGGCTCACGTGTCGCATGAGTATGACATGAATCCAACATGCGCGGCTTCAGAGTAGTCAGTGATTCCACAACACAAGTTAATTAAATTGATAAGAGTATGTCAAGTTGCGATAACAGGAAGGAATGACGGTAAATGGGCATGTTGCATACATTAGGCCTGTGGTATGGCTCACCTTCTGTTTGCTGCTATCGAATATACACAACCCGAAACGGTTCCAGTGCCTAAATTGACATCCGAACACGGTTGATGATGCGTCCATCATTTGACACCAGTTGGAGAGACGGTCGTAAGTACGTATGCTTGAAAAGAAACGGAATAAACGAGTCAGGGGACTAAAAGCTAATCCAGGATGTGTAACTAGCTATGTGAGATCATTGAAGAAATCATTGCAAAGAACTTGTTTTGATTCCCAGCAAGCAGAAACCGGCATTTATCCAAATTTTTCAGTTATTTCTCTAATTGTTCAGCCGGCGTCCGGCAAAGCTGAAACTGATTGTGAACGTGGCGTTAAAATGAGCGTTTACAGTTTGGCCAGCAGCGTCGATGGCTTAAAGTTGCCCACGTAAAGTGCAAGGCAAATCGAAACGACACACACTTATTCCTGTCATTCCAACCAGAATGTCGAGGTATTTCATTGCTTTGTGAGCTCATAACTGTGGACGACGCGGCGAACTCGGGGATCGCTGCAGCCCTAGTTGATCTATGCACGTGCAAATGTTGTATGGACTTGATTCTTAAGTGTGTAAATCCTACAGAGGTATCATCCAGTCAGTTTGTGTTTCAACCGAATCTAAACTGAGGTTACACTCACCTCAATTGGCATCGCTAATCCCCAGAGACTCAAACTTGTTGCTCTCCCCGTGATGTATCATCCCATCGTTAGTTGTGATTGGTGCCAACCAATCACAAGCAAATCTCTCTGAAACAACCATAAATGTTAACGGAAGACAAGTTTTCTCGGACGGACGCTACAGTTGACACTGTAGCTCCAAGTATCCACTCCCTAAAATGCATATGAAGAGTTTGTCGAAATCATTTCACGGCAACTAGCAGTTTGAATCTATAACATGCGGTAGTTGTCAAGTCACACTGTGCGTCTATGCTCAGTGTTTGTATGCTGGATACTTCGAAGCATAAAGCAGCCTATGGCCACCGGCATAGCTAACCTGGTAGGCCACACTAAAACCAGTCAAACCGTATGTCTTTTCGCACTTAGACGAAACAGGTTGTCGTTAAAAAAAAATCTGATCTGTTTAGCTAATGCACAACGAATAAACACGATGACAAACAAGCGAGCCTGTAAGTGGTGAATGCTCGATGATGTAAAGTTAGTGAAACACTAATATCGTGTATGGTGAATGCTCAGAGACACCACTGGAATTGTGTACACCAGTTGTGCGAATATGTTGTTCTTACTTCTCCCCTGCATATCCTTGCAGGTTTTTGCTCTCGCTAACACCACGAATTATGAGGCTTATGTTATACTACCACATAATTTGTTTGTGGAGCATGAGAACCTAATATTGATCAGAACCACAAATGCTGCATCCACCGTACACACAAAGACAGTCATTCCGGACTTGTCGAATGCCACCGTAGACGATCGAGTTGACCAAATCGTCTACCTGCCTGACGGCACCTCTGGAGTGGATATACCCTACACACCTCGAGTGTTGCCTTTTCCTAATACTGCCATGGAAGTGGCACTTTGGTTCACAGTTCATTTTTGTCTGAACCAAAATTGTGATAATGTATTGAGAAAGACCCTGACCGGACATGCGAATATTATACGGAGAGAGGTGGCGATTCTTGGCGAAGCAGAGAGAGATGTGTACCATTCTGAGGAGACAGTTAGATTTAGCTTCATTGCGCTGCCGCCGCACATCGTTATGTCGCTGCCACACGCGGTCGAGTATCCTCCCATCAAATTCGGTTATGATGAGAATGGACAACCGTATTTGAGTGAGTTTACAGCGGAAGAAGCAGCCAATATGACAGAGATTTTGTTCCATGAAATCGAAGTTCTTGATTCTCGTGGTATGTTTATGCACCGATGGGTAAGCGTCTCTCCGAGAATTGCCCTCAACATGACGTACACTCCACCCTCAAAAGCTATCAGTGGAAAGTGGATGATAATTGCTAGAATACGTTTTGAGTTCAAAATGATCTCATTTACTGTTGTTGGACATTCGCGACCCAGTTATAACATTAATATCCGCCTACCAGAACATGAAGTGACCTACGACACACCTTTGATACCCGTGACCGTGTGTGTCAGCCATGTGGATGGAAGACCCGCGTACGGAAAACTGGATATCAGCGTTTGCGTATGCAGTGCACATGCGGATGGACGTATTCTCAAAGGTCATGCAGAGGACCCAGTAGGACAGAGGATATGCAGGAGCGTATTGCCTCCATACGTACCGCGCCCATGTGCTCACGTTCAGACATTTGTGCCATCCAGTGGCTGCTACTCAGGGAACGTTTCATCAGCCTCTTTAAACTATGCTGACCCTGCTCATCCAGTATGGCATCAAAGATTAGTAATTTGTGCAAAACTGAGAGAAGTAATCACTAACACTTCCATGGAAAATTGCAAGGTCGGAAACGAAATGTATTGGAAGACCCCAGTAGTTAATCTTGAGTTGCCAAGTGAGTTTCAGTATGGGCTACCTATCTGGGGGTATGTTAAATTCGATCATCCCACGAATGCATCCGGTGCACGGATTCAAATTAAGGCAAACGAAATAGACGAATGTGAGTACAGTGTACCCAATACCAGAGCTAGCTATCGTCACACAGATTTGTTGCGTACAGACAAAGATGGCCGAGCTGTATTTGTACTGAAACCGATAGTGTCGAACAAACCAATCAAAGTTGCGGCCATTTATTCCATCGAAGGTAACCAACGGTTGAGTTATATGGAATCGTGGCCACCCAGACCGGATACAACGTATGCAGGTGACTTCGTGACCTTGCGTCCTTGGCTAAATGGACAACGTATCTCGATGCAAATGTGGCCACCAGGTAGGCCAATACGTGCCACATGCTCAGGTCTAGTGAACTTCGGAATTATTGCCAACACACGCTTATCTAACAAGACCATGTACGTACACTCAGTGATTAGAGGGAAGGTTGTCCGGTGGAGAATCCAGCCGAGTGTTATTAATGAATTGCCTTGTCACGACCAAGATGGTGCACTTGGACATTACATTTGTCTGCAACCCAATGGAAACGCAGTGCAGTGCCTTCCGGGTTGGACAGGTCTTGACTGCCTCCTGCCTATTTGTACTCCTGATTGTCATCCCCGCGGTGGATACTGTGAACAACCATATCAATGTGAGTGTTTCCCATACTGGACTGGTCGCAATTGCAACATCTGCACGGCAAGAAATAAAAGCATGTGCAATGGAAATGGAGGAAGTTTATTGGGGATTTCACAAGAAGAGGCTTCCAACTCAACAGAAAATGTCGAAGCGGAGGATGAACGAAGTACTGATGTAGAGAATGACCTTGAACTCGACAGCGGTACGCTCGTGCAATCTACTCGGACGCTTTATCAAGCGGAAATATCGTTTTTTGTCGGCAGTTCTTGGCGCCCTAAACTTGTTGCAGTGATGTACTTCGTTGATCGCACGGATTCTGGTAACAGCTTGGTGTCCATGCCTATTGAACTAACGAACCAGTCTATCTGTTCCAGTGAGTCAACTGGTAAGCAGCGTGGATTTGGGTTGACAGGCTTGTGGTTCGATCGCCAGACAGCATCACCTGGGCAAAATGTACAATTGATAATCATCCCACAGGGGGCGGACAACACTTCAACCGGAGGGCTTTACAAAAACGAAGACCAGTTAGCAGATCAGCTATGTTTCCTTCAAATAAGCCCAGCCGTAACAAAAGAGCCCTCTAATATTATTTCATCTCCTGTCACTCACTTCATTTATCCCAATTGGCATGTTGGTGATACAGTCGCAAATCACTTTTCCAATGCGAAGTTGACACATCTGTCCACCGTTAACGAGCAGTTCTCACAAGAAGAAAGTACGGTCTGCCACGGTGGCAGCGTAGAGAATGTTCCGGTGTGGAAGAACGCCCTTCTAACATCCTCTCTCCCATTTCCCGCTGACGTTTGGAGTGGCAGCACTCAGGATTCAATAAATGCTGACCAGGTGGGGATGCATTTACCCGACGCGTGGGTATTGGATATTTTACCGGTTACAACGCTTCGACAACCGAGTGGATTCCTTGTGTATGGATCACATGCCAGCCTGTTGGCACCAAGTGCTACCATGACTTGGCGGGCATCAGTCTTTTGCACTACTAAAGGCAACGGCGTGTGGATTCCGTCACCGACGCTCTTGACTGTCCAACCACCTGTACAAATAAGTCTCAACCTACCAAGTCGAATGAAGCGTGGCGAAATTGTCTACTCTTCCTTGAGGCTAGCCGTCCCGGCACGCGGGCCCAAATGCATTGCATTACATGTAAGTAGTGAAATTAATGAAACGGATTGGAAGCTAATGGGACCAAAAGCGTATAGCGGATGTTTAGGAGCTGGGGAAAACCTCACTATCCCCTCACAGTTACTCGCACTTCGAGTAGGATTGATGAATTACACAGTAGGTATTCGAGTCATTCCTGAAAGTGCGGTATGCACAAGCTTGTATGGAATCCGTCCAAACAAATCGGATTCTTTTATATTCAACAAGCTAGTTTCGCAACAAATTCACGTGGAAGCAGAAGGAGTGGCGAATACTATGCTTGCCAGTGAAGCACTTTGTCCGCCTTCACCGAACAAAGTGGTTAAACGCTCTTTTCAATTTGTTGTACCCAGCACTGCTGTACCGCAGTCCATACGCGTTAGTTTACTTTACTCGACTGACCTAGCTGGTCTCAACTTGCGCTCCATTGACCCTCCCCACTTGATGCATGATCTGTCATGGAGGGACGTTCCAGCTCTGCTAGCAACCAGTCTATACGCTCTGGAATTATGTCAAATCAACCACCATGAGGATACAAGTCAGCTGGACTATCTACGACGTTGTGCCAGAAGTCAGGTGACCAGTATTTCTCAATGGTTATTAGAACGATGTTTAATCAGTGAGTCCGTTATTCCCATTTGTGCCATTCGAGACCAATCTAGCCTTTGGTTTGCGGCTATAATACTTCGGACCTTCGCTAAAGTTGCTAAAATCGAACACCACCTGCCTGTTGACTGGAAAACAACAAATAACAAGTTAGTAGCGTACTTGGAGTCATTTATAAGTATCAATGAACCTGGTTGTCTTGCAATCGCGGCCATTTTTCATAAGCAGCAGCATCCTAATTCATCTGTGCATGATGCTCTAAAACTCACTGCACAGATCCTCCAAGCCTTTCATGAGGTGATAGACACGAAAGCTGAGGAGGAACCCAGGGAGTTGGAAAGAAACATTACCAGAGTATGGAGTTGTTTTAAGCACCAGTTGACTGCCCTTCAGAGATCACAAAACGATACCTTATCGATGTCCCCGTATGACATTGCCCTGTTTGCATACACAGTCAGTCTGTTTGAATCGTCTGGTCCGCTTAGCAAGCTACTGCAAAGTAGCGTGAGGCGCCGCCGACGTTCGTTGCTGTCTCCGGGAGCTGACGTGCATAGATTTTGGTTGGCCCGACCCAATGAAAAAATATCACTGGGCTACTCGGTGACTGCTGCAGATATTGAGACAACCTCATATGCTTATTTGGCACTGAGACAGGGCAATGAATCCATAAACCAACTGCTTTCCACCTTTCGATGGCTAGTTACACAACAGACAGTCAACGGCTGGTTTTCATCCACGCCTGCTACCGTTCTCGGTCTGGAGGTACTAATGGATGGCCTGAAACATCTGTTATCTAATCAACCCGACAGCAAACTGGCCCCTGCTGCGGTTTCAGTTTCCATTAATTCACTCAATTACACTCACTTCGAATGGTTGACTGACCACAGTGTCGGCTCGTTCAAGACATTGATGGTACGACCCAACGCAGTAGCTGAACGTCTTGATATTCAGTGGGAGTTAGACGTGAGCAATAGCCAAGCCACCAACTGTCTGTTTCTGCAAACTATTGTCAGTTTTCACATACCGGAACGAAACACATCATTAATATCGACGTATTCCATCACGGTGAATACAAGTCGGAGGGGTGAACTACCGGCAGATACGTGTAGGTTCGCTGACCTAGATATTTGTATAGTAGCTTCCCCAGATTCGAGCACGCATATTTTCCCGAAAACATTTGTAACTGAGGTCCACCTGATCACGGGATGGGAGCCGGTGCGGCATGCCGTTCTGCAGCGTATCAGCACACAAACAAGAGGTTCGTTTGACGTGATTATCGAACAGGATCATCCCACTATTTTATTGTACTTTGACGGATTCACTCCAGACGAGGCTTTGTTGGCTGGTGGTTGGGCTTCTGTGAGCCGATGTTTCACCATACAAATGGAACAAAAGTTTCCGGTGCGAAATGTAAGACCTGGAGTCATACGAGTCTTAGATGCAGTGGATCCCAAAACATTTGTCTCGGCAACTTACTCGTTCGCTCCATGCGAATCGATGATCCGAACCAATGAATGCTCACGAAATACGTCTAGTAAGAATGAATCTGAAGCAATTCAGAGCAGTGAAGTGGCAGGTGTTAGGAATGCCACATGTCCGATCTGCACCCTGACGAAAGACACATATAAACCGTTTTTACGGTTGCTGATCTCCTCATTGTGTACCACATCCTCGGAAAATGTCTTGATACTGCAAATTCACGAAGAACACGATGGATTAATCAAAGCCACTGTGAACACGGTTACACCATGTGGTCTCATCACGAGTCAAAACGTCACTATGAGCATGAAGTTGAACTCCTCTTGCAATTGCACGCGGGACGAAAACACAAAGACCTTCGCGTTATTTGCTGCCGGTGCTTTGCGAATGGATCTAGACAGATCAGTCGGGCAACTTCATCTAAATCAATCAACAGTATATATGTTGCCCTTTCGGAACTTAAGTCCCGTGCTGTATGCTCTTGTGAAACGTCTTCGTGACGGAAGGACTAAGGTAAAAGACTGCTACGGTGAGTCAAGTTGTAAAAGACTACTGTCTCTATATCGACATATCCAGAATCCGGAATACTGGTAACGTACTATTTATTTCTCTTTTGATTCATTATAGATTATACAGCCCCTTTTTGACCGTGTCAGCAGTTGTTGCAATCAAATGTATTTCATAAAAATCCCTTTAATTCGGTTGAATAGTTGAGTTAATGCTAGTCGCAGGCATGTCGGGCTTGCAAGTGTGGTGCCAAAGCATCGAATGTTGGGCTTTGTGTATTACCGCTTATGGGAAGACTAAGCAGTATCCCGATGCACCCAATTTGCTCCAGTGCGCATAGGCAATTGCATGAGTTATTTGTATTCTTCAGTAATCTATAAGGTCTGACTGCTTTCGGTGTGATTGTTAACATGGGCATGCATGTGTGCGAAGCCCCATCGTTGTTGACACCTTCAGCAGAATGCTGAGCGTTACTGGGAGTCTCAGATTGCACAAACAAGGTGAAAGTGCTGGACGCAGCGTACGGTGCTATCATGAAACGGTTTACCTTCTAGCCGTCATTAGTTCCCATTATTTGGCGTTATCGCGGTACGTGCTGAAACGTCAAATTGTTGCTGCTCTTATTTGTTTAGCTTTAGAACGGATATTAGGCATATGAATGAGGCTACTGGGGGTGCACCGCAAATCACTCATGGCTCCTCTGTGCCTGTCGACATTGGCAGTGAAGGATAAACCGAGAAACGGATGCCATCAAGCTTACGACGAAGACGACTACTACTACTACTACTACTACTACCATTACTACTACTACCACTACTACTATTACTACTACTACTACTACTACTACTACTACTACTACTACTACCATTGTCGGTATGTTAAACTCCTTCGCCTGTGAGTACCGCTTACTTTACGGGCGATGATATATATGAACGTCACCGCTTTGTCTACTCAACAGAGTGGCGTGACAGCGATCCATTTCGCACGCATTCATCCTGTTGCATCACAAACGCACTCCCTGCCTCCAACAAGTAGACCATGATGCTTTGTTTTGTAGTGACTTATTGATCTTTAATGCTAGGTGAGCATCTTCGGGTGTGCCTTACGCAACAGTCTCGTGTCTACTCTATTCAGATGATGTCGATTGGCCCCGACTTGACTGGGGAACTACATTTCTAACGAACCGGCCTGTTGGGCATGAATATGAAAGAGAATGTAACGGTGTAAGCCAAACGGAAGTAGTGCGTCGAATGGAGTAAGTTTATGTGTAGCAGAGTGCATATAAGCTCGGGGGAACATTGAAAAATTTTCAGTTTTGGTGCTTGAATCCAGAGATTAGAATCTAGAATAGTTAGATGAAGTACATAGTAGTCGAAAAGGATGGATGCTGAAACTCCTAGCAACAGTTTTCCAGCACTGATAAATTCCAGATCCAACATCAGCACGTACTCGAGTGGCGATATCCGAAGACTCATATTATCGCGCAAGGTATTTATGAGGGTTGAGATAAGACGGAGAATGGTGAAACCAGCGAAAACCATTGTCAGCATCCCAAATCAGAAAGTAGACCGGAGACAAATGGATAAATATAAGTGTGAAATCAGGTGTCATCAGTAAAGCTCAATACATTATGCGCACTTGAGCTATAATGAATGCGCGCGTACAAGATTAGATTAGGTCTATAGTCGCCAATGCTTGAGTGTGCTGCGGGTTCGGAGGATCAGTGCCTCACTTGTGTGCAACGGCATATCGAGGATAGATATTGGGCCTTTCAAGTCTACTCTGCAGTCCGCCATAGGAGTTATGCAGTAACGTTGCCGAAGACATTTTATGTGAATTTATGCGTACCAACAAAGGACACTTTAGTCCGCGGCAGAGTAAATTCTTCCAAGGTTTCAAACCATATACAGCCGTAGGTTTGCACTGTACAGACGGTATAATATCCATGGGAGACGGTTATCACCACCTTCATTCATAACGCCAAAGCATTTGGCCGGCGGTGTTGGCTCGTTGATGTTGGTGCAGCTTTGCTACAACTGGTCCTTCCAACCGGCACGGCCACTAAATAGACGCCCGAAAATCCCCCGAAATCAGTCATGATGACATAAGTTTCGGAAACTCAGAAGAAAGTCGGTGACATTCCGTCATTCTCGAATACAATTTTCCAACCTTTTTGAGGAATTTATACACGTTACACGGCTCTAAACCCCACAGTTCGATAGGCTCCCCAAGGTAGTCCCATTACCGCTAATTGCGGACATACGGAAAAATTCGGTACACCGCCATTCGTTCTATCAAATTTCCACACCATTTACCCTCCGTTTCACGTCGTGATAAACCGTAATCTACACCGGTGTATTACGTCTTATCTCAAAATGCTGAATATGTTCGCAAAAGCGGGTTTAATAAAAAGTAAGTTGTTAAAGTGTTCATGTACTGAGCCCGGAGGTGACTTATATGCTCCGATGGAAAGCCTCATGTTTTTGATAGGCTGTTTCTATTATCGAAATTGCTTGACGGTTACACTCTCGATACATCAAGCGAACGTTTTACATATCACTATATCTGTAATAGATATTGCTTAATGTAAGTGCTGGGCTAACCGATAAGGGTAATATGTGGAAATATAACATGGAAAGTTATGATCAATGGTTAACATAGCCAGCATTTACATGTAAGTCGCCACTTTTTAATGAAATCGCACTTTTAGTCCTCGTGAGTACAGGCTAGGCTGTCGATGGGTGAACATTTTTATGCTCCTGGCCGTGTCAGTAAAACGTTTGGACTAATCTCTGTCACTCATAAAAATTCGGTGTATACTTGCGTTTTCAGTAGCCCGTTACTACGAGTTGGGAATCATTTTCTGGTATTTACGGCCAGGGAAAGTGCATTCACAGCATATGATCAACCTGTGTTGAAAAATGTTTCTAGGTGACGGAAAGTTGTCGCCATTGTGTCTCGCAAGCACGGCCAGAGTCACAAAAATCGGTCACTTAGAGCGCTCCAACGGCCATTTTTCGGTAGTCCCATCATTTGGTATGCGCTTCGCACCTTCAACGTACAATGTCTTGTTGCAGGTTCGCAAGCCACTTGATGACCGCTTGACCCTTGATAACGAAGAACTCGAGGTGGCTGCTCAATTCACTTACCTTGGAAGCTGCATCAGCAATGATGGGTTCAGATAATCGAAGTCAGTTAGGGTTTTACAAAAGCCAGCGCTGTCTTCTTGAATCTACGACATCTTTGGCGTCAGAAACGAGTTACCGTCTATCTAAAATGCTGTATTTCCATGGCCACACTGAGGTCCGTCCAGCCTATGGGAGTGATACTTGGCCCTTTCTATCTGAGGAACTACAGCACATCCAAGCCCTTGATCATCGTTGCCTGCCAGGCATCGCTAGTGTTGAGTGGCACCAGCTTGTCCACAAAGATGATATGCCTAAGCAAGTGTTAGGGACTGATAGTCAAGATAGTTTCTTAGAATAACAACTAGCACTGCTTAAGTAGCTTTGGATTGGGCATGTACTACGTATTCTTGGCCACCGATTTGCCGAGGAGAGCTTTGTTTTGTCTGGCAGATTAAGGATAGCGCATAGCTCAAGTTGAACAAAAGTTGATTTGGCAGCTGGAAAAGAAGTCACTGACGACCAAACTCGGTGCTGTCGGTCCATCTCGCCTTCTGGGCTAAAGTCCACGTGACCCGCCTTGCGTTTGGTTCGAGAGTTGATTACAGATTGCTCGCGGTCGACACCGGTGGCGCGTCTGCTGCTGTCTCCTAGTCGGAGTATCTGTTTAAAGTGTGTTTTGTGCTGAGTTAACTGCGTGCTAATGGCTATGACGTGGGGCGGTGAAAGCCACAAGGAAGCTGTCTCGCCGATACCGCCTTATCTTCCCATGATACTCAGCTGTTTGTGATGATATGTTGTTGACAGGGTGTATGTGCTTTGCCCCTGAATATTTGCTAGGGGCAATAAGGTTTCCGGTAAGTCCCCCTTCTCTCCAGCTAACTGATCTTCGTTCCGTAGGTCACCATGATTGTATGGCAGCAAAACATCAGTTCAACTGGCTGATTTACTGCTGTTGCTGCTAAGGATGACGGTTTTCGGTGGTTGGTGCTATGCGGGAATACACCTTCGGTATTGTCTTCGCACTTTGAGCAAATTTCCGCCCTATTCCTGCGAATTGCTTTGTTAAGAGAAGTGTTGTGTTCTCAGAGTTAGGCAATTTTGGTGCAGGCGTTTCGTTGCCAAACCAGACAACATCCTCAGCGTGGCTATAGACGTCTGCTTTGCAGAGTCTCTTAAACCACTACCAGATCTAATGAACAGTGATATGAAATATTGCAGGTGAAAAAGCGGTTGCTTTACAAGTCCCTTAGGTTGGTTGAAGTGAAAATAAACATCAGTATAAATCGTCAATTTCAGCGTCTAACAATTCAGGTGCCCCTTATTCATATAAGCATTGTAGAGTGTGTACTGAATTTTTACTGTAGATTAATATGGGAAGTAATATGTGGAAGGTATGTCTTAAGAACAAATGAAATGACAACGCTTACTCGTGCGCCGCTTTCTTGGACTGAGGTAACTGATGAAGGCAGTTGCAATATATCCGAAACTATATTCCACAACAGCAGTGTGTAAATAGTGAAGCACAAAGCTGAGAATGAGCACCGTTTGTTCGCCTTTGGTTGGCGCAGACATCTCTGGTTATATAGCGTAACGTAAGTGGATAAGCGAATCATCCAGACGTCTTGTGAATACCGTTAGCGTGGGGGAAGAAACAACGTATGTGGGAAGAGCGTTCCAGTGATGGCACACACTAAGTGAAAAGAAATTCCGGCGGCATTCCAACCGGTTGTATTGTGTGGCCAGCTTTAGCTGGTGTCATCTGAGTGTTGTATTGCGACTCATCTTTAGTAAGTGAAGACAAGAATTGTTTGGATTCTTCAGGATCATATAAGTCATTATCAAGTCGCCAAGCAGGCGTCGATATTGTCCACTGTAGACCCCGAGGGTTTTCAGCCTCAATTGGTAAGGGAGATGAAACAGGCCCTGTACGTTCTTGGTCGCCCTTGGTTGTGGCAGTTCAAGAGTGGTAAGGTCTTGCTTTTGCCATGGCTGCCAGGCGTGGATGGCGTACTCAGAATGAGGCCGAATGTAGGCGTTGAGCATCTGAGAAAACATGGAAGGATCGAAGCACCCGAATGCCCTTCGCAAAAAGCCAACGTGCAGGTTAGCTTTTTTTGGAGGCTTTCCCGGCCTGACGGGAACAGCCCAGATCTTCCTGTACTATCACGCCTAGATCGCATTCCGTTGAAGTGCGCTGCAATATTTGATCC